GCCCGTGCAGCTGAATATGTTTCCTGCTTTTTCTCCCCTGCTCCTTCCTCCATCGTCCCCCCAGGGCTATGTCTCATGCTTTTCCTCACTCTCTGTCAAGCAGTGGGAAACGAGCAGCCCTGTTCAACTGCCCACGATTACGGAGGCTCTTATCTGCAATCAAACAAAGTCTCTGTTTACAAGGGAAATACCTGAGATCTCTTGGGTTTATGGAGCTGAAAAACATATGTTACTGCTTTCATGGCTCACTTGCTAAGGAGTCCTAAACTTTGCTCTCTTACTGATGCATGTTTTCCTGCTTGCTCTCTGCTCCCCTGGCTTTCCCAGCGAATGGATTCAAATTTGCCGTTTCTCTCCTTTATCCATTTACCTTCACCTGGTGGAGATGGGCAGGGCTTGCAGACAACCTCTAAATTTTAAGAGCACTGTGCTTCAAATCTAAGCGCAAGCCCTGTAAAGCCACTTGTTACATCCTGGCAATGACTGAACTGCTCCAAATCCTAATGCAGACTTCCTGTCTTTTGGCCTCTGCATCTACCCCATGTTGTGGTGGTGTTTGAACCTTAGTAGGTTGCTGGGTCCAGTTGCTGGGATATTTGTTAGGGTCAGATGCTTGTGAATTTAAACGCTTTGACGTTTTAATCTGAGGCATGGCAGATTCAGCCAGACCCTGGGAGAGATGTTGTTAAGGTTTCTGAATGACCTCCCACAGCTGTAAAAGCAGGCTGGTAATTTGTGAGCAAGGAGGAAACTGTGGGATAGAGGGTCATGGAGAACCTAGAGGGTGGCTGAGGTGTAAGGAAGGAATTTGCATTAGATTAAACACAATTATCTGAACACGTGGAGGTGCATGTGAGGGCAGGAACTTGGGAGAAGGTGTGGAGGTAAAAGAGAAGGAGTGATGCCTTCCCTAAAGAAAAGAAAGGAGTGCCTGGAGATCTGAGTACATTTTGATCTGAGAAGGACCTTTCTGGTCTGCCCTTGTGTCTGTCTTTGTCTTCCTCACCGTCACATTAGACTTGTCACTGCTAAGAGGGGTTTCTCCTGGACTTCTCCTGGAATGACCACTGGTATGTTTGCTAATACCAGCAAGAGCACAGTGTAAATGCATTGCAGATGATACTTGCATCCCACATTGCTGCAAAGGCAGATGAGCTCTTCTTAGGAGTCACTACCTTGAGAGTGAAGTAGCCCAAATATTTGCTGAGTCGTCTTTGGTTTTCCTTAACCCTGTCAAGTCTTGCCTTTGCATCTACACACAAGCATTGCCTTTTGTCTGGTGTCTCAAGCATCTCTTGTTCTTTGTTCCTCAGCAGAGATCCAGCAGTCTCCTACAACTGTGGGGCAGACTGGCTCAAAGTCTCCCATTTGCTAGGAGAGTCCTGTACGCACAGAGGGAGCAGGAGCAGCCTTGGGTCAAGCCATCATCTGGGGCTTGGCAGGGTGGTTTCTTCTTTGGATGAGAGCTTGATGATCCCAGTAGATGTGGTATAATGGGCTTATTGGCTTCCCTGCTCTCTAGCCTCTGTTGGTCTCTTGTTGTATTTCTGGATGGGTATGGCAGGTGACTGCAAGGTTTTTTGTGCATTGCCATTTCTCTGAAGTCTGAGCCCATGATGGACACCTAGCCCTGGACTGACATCCCAAAGGAAAGGAAAAGGGTTGCACCACGTTCATAGTGGCTTCCTTCTGCTGTTTGTGCTATTTCTGCTGTACTGTCCCCTGTACGTTCAGATACTGCATTGCATCAAAGAGGTCCTGCATGCCAGCCATACCTGCTCCTCCTGGTGAAAACAGCCCTCAACCCCCCAAACTCATGAAATGCTCCTGAAGTAACAACACTTTGTAACTTCAGCCTAGCATCGCTGAGATAGCTAAGAGTAATGGCGTGTGGGGACCATATATCTCCTTAGCAGGCCAGATTGTCTCGTATAGTCCAATATATCTCCATTTACTTGAGTGGAGATATGTTAGAAAGTATCTGTGCTCAACAAGATGAATGTTCAGTCCAGGTTTATTGTCTTTGTGGGATGCTTTGGCCCTTTGCAAGCTGCAGAGGAACAGCTGGACAAGGTAGCTCTGTCTGTTGGGGTCTGGGAGGAGGTCTCTGGGCAAAGAAGGAGAAGGGGCATGGCAGGGGAGGAGGGAGGGAGGGAGGGAGGGAGGGAAGTTGCACCGGCAGAAGCCAGAGCCCAAAGTAGGGGATGGGTTATGCTCTTTGAATCTCTTGATACTGAAAGGTCTTATTGCCAAACACCTTGGACAACAGGGATTCAGCGAATGTCAGACATGAAGGGTTTTGCTCTTCTTTGGCCAGCCTGATGTTTTTGGGAGGGACAGGGGTTGGTGGAGGTGGTTGTGAAAAGGAGGCTGTGTGCCTCTCTCCTTCCTTCCCCAGCTGCCTCTGTGATGAAGGCTCCCTTCTCCAACAACACCTGGGCTTAGAGAGATGACTTGTGTGGGAAGACTAAGACAGGAGTTGATGAAATTCTTAATTATAGTGATGTTATAAGTGCTCTGATGCATAAAGCTGGAAACAGCTTTCCCTTGCTGCTGGGGGGTGAGTCCAGGGTGAATTATTTAAGCATTCAGAAGACTGAGGCCAGATGATGTGTTTGATACATGTGAGAAAGTGGATGCTGCAAGTATCGAATAGCCTGCACTATGGGTGAACAGGTCTGCCTTGGAGTGGCTGTGGGGTTTCACCATGTCCTGTTATGGCTACCGTGTGCCAAAACCCATGGGAAATGCAGCAGGGAAGATCCCAAATAGCAGGTGACTGTGGACTCATGCAAGGATGCTCTGAAGAGGAGAAAACACGAACTACAAGGAAAGACTGGAAAAGCTGGGGTTGTTAAGAGAAGGCTTAAGGGGAGACATCCAAATGTAAATACTTGGAATACATAACAGGAAAATTTTAAGCTGTTCTCTATATCCACCATGAACAGGGCATGAAGTAATGTGCTTAAACTGTACTACAGGAGACTAGACATCGGGGAAAAAAACCCCAAGTTTTAATAATAGAGCTACTTAGGACTGAATTAGCCTGTCTTGGGAGCTGGTGGGATCTCCATCACTGGCATCTTTTATGAAGGAGGAAGACTAACCCCTGGATTTAACACCTGATGTGCTACTGCGGTCAGCCAGATGGAGCGGACAGTGTTTTGAGGTCTCTGTCATCTGTTTTCCTGTGAAATCCTGTGTGCTCATAGGTAAATATTGATGTGCGAGCCTCATACCTACACCAGGAATTTGCGTTACAAACCTCATGGCCCTCTGCCAGCGAAACCGCTGGTTTCGATTCAGTGTCCTGAATTCCTATTGCTGAAGGAGAAGGGCTGGGGAAGCACTGATGCTGTGGTTCACTGACAGGGAAACTCGTGATTTAGGGATCCTCATAGGACATAACAAAGACTGCAGCCCCATGGCACATGATACCCTTCTGGTAAGAGCTCTGAAGGTTCAAATATATTCAAAAAATGTGGCTGGGGTAGCTGGGTAATTGCTGGGTTTATGCCAGGTGTACCTGAGGACGGCTGATGAAGACAGCGGGATCAGTTGTCGTCCGCACCACTCGCCGGTGGCATAACGCTTGCACCCCCCTTCTGTGCTCTGGGTAATTCAAGAACAGGATCACCAGGTTGCCACATGAGATTGGCATCAATTTTTTACTATGGGGTGACCTATTGGTGCCCAGATCCAATACCGCTGAGCTTCTAGCGATGGCTTGACCCCACCATATCCAAAAGCGTGTGATTCCCTGTGACTGTCCTGGATGGAGAGACATGTCTGTCTCAGGAAAACATTCAGGGCATGGCACACTTTGGTGCTGCTCAGTTAGTAGTAGTCCAAACTGAACCCCCTTTTGTTTCATTTCCATCCTCTCTCATTGCACCCCAGCTGCCAATAGACTGGGACATTTGGAAAAGGTACCAGAGATGCGTGATTTCAGTTTTGACTTGTGTCTTATGTCTCTGTTTTATTTGTGCTTTCTGCAAACTGATCAGTTTTTTGGAAGTGTCAGTTTGCAAGGATTTATCCATTGATTTCTGCAAAGACACATCAGGCTCTGAGTTATTTGCAAACAATTTATGTGTGCATTTCATCCATGTGCATGGTGTAGCAAATTGTTCATTCTTTTTCTTAAATGACTGTTATTACATCAGATAAATCAGGGAAATTGGAGTTCTAAGCTGGGAATCTGCAGCAGACGTGCCTGGATTTGGACACGGCACTTTTTAATGCAACAGAAAAGCATCTCTGGCTATCTCTGCACTCTACAGAAGTGCTGGATAATGGTGCTTCTTTGTATGCCAACACAAGACTTTTTTTTCTAAATATTTCCTTGTGGTCTTGATAATGCCCTGCTGGGTGAACTGTTCTTTGCTGGCACAAACCCCTGTGCTATTTGCTTCGCTGTCAGCTACATCGGTTGCAATTTATCACCAAGTCCTGTGTTTAAAATCTCGATCATGAACAGATCTCCCGTGTGTGCATCTTTACAGCTATTCTTTCTACCCTCAAAAAACTGCGCCAAGTAAAGCTATTTCAGTCAGGAAATATTTTTTTCTCTAAGGAATCAATCTCCGCAGTGCAGACAGGTCACAGTGGTGTTGAATTCATTCCCATGGCTAAGCCTAGGCTCCGGTTCATCTGACATAATTTGGAAAGCTGCATGGAGTGCTTAAGTTAGTGATTTCATTTCCCAGAGCTCCCTGTATAGTCACAAGGAGGCAGAGGTTCCCTCAGAGGTGATTCAGAGCACCTAAGTTACAACCAGGAGCACCACTGACTGCTGAGAGGACTTGCAATGACCATGCTTTTCTGTTAGACATCTCACTTAAGGTATATAAAATTCAGTGGGGTGTCCTCAGCACCCTTTCCTGATGGTTGCAGCATCCTCTTGAGAAAATTTCCTCTCTTTTTTTCTGATATGTAAAGCTTGCCCAAAAGGAAAGGAAGGTTGCAGTCTCCCCATAAAACCTGTGGTCTTGTTTCAGGAGGAAGATGAGATAAAGCCAATCAGATGGAGCCCAGTTCCACCAGCCTCAAGAGGCTCAAGTTTGGGAAGCTGAAGGTGGTACGTCGGCACTTGCTGCAGAGGTATGAGCATCAGCCCTTCATCTCCTGCCTGGCTGGTTTCTACAGCTGCCGGTGGAAGCGGTACCAACGCAGAAGGACCGAGCCTGGGAAATGCTGCTGCAAGATGGTAAATGAGCTCAAAATCAGTACAGACATTTATTTCTGTGTAGGGACAGATCAGTTCAAGCTGACAAGTGGTTGATGTCATGGGCCAAAGGCACCCCTGCCCAACATTGTTTGGAGCCCACTGAGATCTGTTGGGTTGTTGGATTTTGCTCTAAGTGCTTGATGTATTGCTGTGTTTCTGTGGCAAGGCCAGTTTCTCTGTGCCACCGTGCAGCTAACAAATGTCTGGTGGCAGGAAAGGACCTTGGACCAAACTCTCCAGGCCTGTGAAACATCTCAAATCCAGAAGATCAAACTAAAGAAAGAAAATTTGGGATGGGTGTGCAGTAAGAATTTCAAAGAGGTACTGCCTAGTGCAGCTCCCTCCCATGTGAGATGATAAAAATCCTGTTCATTTGCGAAGTCATGAGATCTGTTTTCCCCAAAAATAAATACTGCAGAGTATGTTTTTGAGGACATTTCCCTGCTCACAGGGAACAGGAAGGGAAGTCACCTCCATCTCTGCTTCTGGAGGTCCTGCACCAAGCCATGTGTTTTAGGCACAGCCTAAAAGTATCTGCCATGTGCTCTGAGTGCTTTGGGGTAGACAAGGCTCTGACCACTTGTCCTTCCTCTCTCTCTCCAGCGGGAATGCGTGTTTTTCCCATTGCTTGTTGGAGCTTTCTGCTTTTCTCTGATCTTTCTGTACATGTGGGGTGAAGCGAAAAATGACTACAATAACTTTGACTGGTAAGTACCATCTTTTCCTCCTCTCCTGCTCCTCGGGCAGGTCTCCAGGGTGGCTGGGAAGGGTTGACCACCCTCCCCAGCAGCTCTGTTGCAGCAGGGCTCTTCAGCCATGAGCTAAAGGCTTGGGTCCTTAAACTCTTGATTATGGAATCCAAATTGAATGTCCAGTGACCTCAGAGGTGCTGAGGCTCTGTCGTTTGCTTGGCTACAGTTTTTAGGTATAAGTGCAAATTTGGGAAGAAAGGGAGAATCATCATCAAGAAAATTGTGAGTGCAAGGGACTAAACAGCTCTTTCCTCTCCTTCTCTGAGTCTTCCCCCCCACCCTTCCGTTCCCTCTGAAGAAATGTAGTGGCTATCATCAGAGGCATTGCACCAGCTATCTCACTGCAAAGAGAATTGCATGTTCCCAGGCTCCAAAGTAAGAAATAACTGGCAGGGATTTATGCAAATCCTTTCCTTCTGCAGTATGTAGGTAACCGTTTTGCAAATATGGCCCCTAAAATTAAATTAAAACAGCTCAAATATTATGGGGAGCAAAGGTGAAATAATGTTATTCATCCTTATTGAGCCTTTGGGTAAAAAATAAAGCTTCCCTCTCTTTCTCCTTGGGCACTCCCTCTGCAGCTCCTCCAGCTTTCTGGTGTTTTCTCCTTCAAAATCTGACTCAAATCCCCTTTTTGCGGCAGTGCCCTACACAACCGCAGGCAGACAAGGTGGGCTGTTGGACTGAGTCATGTCACCTTACTGTTTCCCCAGGCTGCCTTGTCAGCAGCAAGGTGCTGAGTCTTACAGTCAGACTAGGAGCTCTTTGAGCAAGACTGTCAATTTGGTCCTGTATTTTAGCACCCCAGCACATTGGGGTATTATTCTGGTGGCTAATGCAATCATGGATTCGGGGAAGGAGGCTTTTAACCACTTCTGCGTGTTACGGGGTAGGTTATTCCTCCTTCCCTCTTTGTCCTATTGCTTTGAAAATGTCAAAATTTCAAGGAACAGGGCTGTTCTTAACCCTTGGTCGGTGTGCTAAACACAAACACTATCATAATATTTTATTGCTTTTTAGGTATAACTATGGGAACCTGGGCTTCTGGTTTCTCTGGTCTCTTGTTCTCCTGATTGTGGCTGCAATCGTGTTCATGTACATCACACTTTTATTGGTAAGTAATGCTCCTTGTAAGCTGACCATGATTTATAGTCCTAAAAAGTAAACATAGGGATGGCTTTAATGTGTCAGACATCTGCCTAGCCCTTCAGATGATCCCTACACAGTGGATATCTGGGGAAGATGTGGAACACGAGTGTTTATGGTACTTTGTGCCCATGTCCACCTGTGGATGACCGATTTCAGCTTGTGGATCTCTGAGCCAGATGTAATTTCTGTGATTTCTCTCAATGATTTCCCGTTGATTAATTTGTCCAGTGTCTCCTTGAACCCAAGAGAAGATGTGCCAGCAGTGTCTGGATCTAAATTTAAGGGAAGCTAAAGACTGTTGTTCTGACAGCAGGGAAGTAGAGGGCTCTGAGTCATGTAGCAGTGATTATATGTCATCAAAGCTGAGCTATTCCTTTAATCCTAAAGAAAAATGCTCATTGTGATATGTCATCAAAGCTGAGTTATTCCTTTAATCCTAAAGAAAAATGCTCATTAGAACATTACTGCTGAAGCTGCCTTGACTCTTTCTGCTTTGCTGGAGGGTTTCTCTCCAGGTAGAGACTGCAGACATGGTCACAAAATGGTCCTGAAGTTTATGCTCAAAGAGGCGATGTTCCCGAAATCTTCACTTTTCCAAATCCTGTGAAATTTTCTCTAGCTGTCTGCTTTGGTTACTGGAAGTATACCAAAACCAAATGTTTCCTAAAATTTCTACCTAGTCACCATTTTCCTCTGTCCTTTCTCTCATAGACACCCCCCAAATAAAGACAGACCTTCACGTGTGTTTCCACCCTCTGCATCCAGAGCTGTAGGCTAAGAAACCACTTTAACTCCAGGGACTGGAGTCCATGTTCAGTCTCATGCCTGCTCCAACTTTCATGTTGAAATGCCAGGTGCTGATGAGGTTATGGCTTTGACTCACCTCTGCGACCATGATAATCAGTTTTTATCATCAATTCCTGCTGTTCTTACCCATTCCCTGATGTGTCATCATATAGTCAGTCTGTAAATTGCTCATGGCAAGGAATCTCTTTTTGCTTTGTTCATGCAGTGCCTAACACAATAGGTTTCTGGGGTCCTTTGTCCCTGCTGAAGTACAAATAAATAATGATTTTTATTCTAGTGCTAGCAATAAAATACCAAAGTGATAAATAGGACAGCTGCTTGGCCATGCCCAGCGATCAATAGCATCATAAATGCTGTGAACTAACTGAGGTCTGAGTAAGACAAATAACAGTATTTAATTACAAGGATTTTGTGACACCCTGGTGGTTCTGGGGCTCAATGTCTGTTATTCAGCAAAGTCTACCTGGCTTCTCCAGTGGCCATGGGACAGTGTGGGTGGTTTGGTGGTTACAATGCTGTTTTGGGCAACTCGGAGCTTTGCCAGAGATGCCCATATGACACGGATACCTCTGAGATCGTACCTCAGCAGGCTGTGGATCTGGAGTCAACCTCAGGATCAGACTAACCCATCATAGCACATGCTAGAAATGGGTTTTATGGGATTTCCTGGGCTTGGGGAGCCTGGAGACCCCTGGGGCTGGTGTGTCAGCTCAGTCATGCTCTGTCTGGATCCAAACATCAGCCAGCGTCCAAGCAGTGGCCTTTCTTAAAGGACCTTCATGTCTTTGACAGCACAGATGTGATGGCCACAAGCTATCAGGGCAGGTGATGGGCAAAGTAAAGACAGAAAGGAGAAAGGTAGATGGAAAATACAAGACAAAATAGGTTTCCTACATTGTTCAGTTCAGTCTTGGTCCAGCTCCTCATTGTGTAGACACATCCTTCTCCTCCTCCTCCTCTCAGCTCTATCTAATGAAGCTAATGGTATTTGCCTTCTTCAGGAAGGTGAAACACAGATAAAAGTGAAAGGATACGAGGACTTTGTATACTGTCAGACAAGTCCTACAAGAGAAACACTTCCGAGGTGCCTCTGCTCTGGGCACAGCCTTTGCTCTGAGGGTCCATTTGCTCCTTGCTTTCACAAAGCTCTTAAGTGACCTACCCAAAACTACTGGGTATTTCTAAGGGCACTTGTCCTGTTTGATTGCATCATCATGTCATCATGTCTCATTTGGCAAGATTGCTGCATGCATCTCTGTTGAGCAGTGGGAGTTGGGAGGCATGAGACCCCGCACCATCAGAGCTGTTACCTAAATAGGATTAGGTCTTGAAGCAAAGGGGAGCAAGGAAAGTAATTACCACCGCCATTCATGCTCCCACTGTCTCAAAGCATGCAGGGTCACACACTTGTATGCAGGGTCTCGTGATGACAATTGTGGCTTGGCCATGCTCATCCCAGAAGGGGTCCTTTCAGAGAAGGACTCTGCTAGGAATCACCCCTCCATCACTGTTTGCAGAGCTTGCCCATCACCATGTCTGGTCTTTCACTGTAGCCTTTGATAAACCACCCAGCAAATCCCTAGAAGCCTCACAGGCTAAGTGCAATTTATCAGTGTGGGTACTATATAATAGCTGGATCACTCCACTACATTTCAGACAAACAATGGCCAAATAGTTTGCCCCCATGATGAATTACATCTCATGTTCTGATTGAACAGTGTTGGATAGAGACTATCACCGTGCATGTTGCAGGAAGGATTGGAGACCTTCACCCAGACAATGTTTCCTTGTGATGTTTTGCATCAGCAGCCCATCACATCCGAAAACCGAGCACACTGATGCCCTTGTCAGAGCAGGGACATTTTATGGCAACCAGTGGTAGGTCTGGTTTTGTTTGTGAGCACCATACCCTCTTCCTTAATGATGGCACCCAACTGGAGTCTGCAAGCCTGCTTCCATGACCTTATTGTGAACCACTGAAGCAAACGCTCTTCTGCCCACTGGCCAACAGCAGCTGAACACAATGCTGCACAACAAAGCACTTGCTGCCTTTGCAAAGACGCTCTCTGTCTGCATGCATCATTGTAATTTTTTCAGACAATGTTTCAATTAATTCAATTGTTATCACTCTGCAAGACAATTTTCTCATCCCCATTGGAGATAAAAGGTTAAGCTGAGGGGTCTAATTGTAGAGCAGTTCATGCTCAGTGGAGAAGAAAAAGCTTTTCTTGTTCAGTCTTTCAAACGCCAACATAATATTTTCCTCTCTGCAGTTCAACCATGTTTGTTCCAAGGGTTTTGGGGAAATAACTTGTGACTGTACAATATAAAGAGGTTCAGGTGTGTTGTGGTCTCTGCATTTGTAGGCTAAGAAAAAACTCAAAGTAGTACATTGACACTGAAGTCCAAAAAGTGATCCCAAATCTCCATTCCTAAGAGACTAGAGTACCAGAGAATTTCTGAGTTGCTGCATTTTTGCCAGAAAGCGAATGGAAGGACCTGAATTCTGCTGTTGTGAACATCTAAGTGAGCAGATGTTTTAGGCCAGCTGAGTGTCTAAGTGCTTGCCTCTGCGTCTTGTGGTGGTAGGTTCAGAGCCTGCCTAAGCCTCACCAGCAGTACTGAAATCAGCGCAACGTCATTCCCATGCTGAAGCAAAGTGGGATTAAGGGTCTACTGTCCATCCTTTTGCAACATAACCTTGTGTTCAGTGCACCCACTCAAAAAGAGGGAGACAGAGGTGCAATCCCCTGTGCAGCAAGTCCATCTCTCTTGCCACTGGAAAGCATCCCTTAATTACCACTTGGCAGGTAGATGGTGGAGGGGGGACACTTCCACACCTCATACTAAAGAAGAAAAATGTGCAAGTGTTGGAAGCTGTAAGATTCAGGGAGATGATAGGGCTGGCAAGAGGGATCTTGGCTCTAGCCTCAGCAGTAATAGTCAGACACATATTGGTCACCTAAACCCACAAATCTGTACACTTGTATTAAACAATCCCAGGATAGGTATGGAAGTGGTTTGGAAGAGCCAGACCAGCTGGTGCTGGTTGTCTCTTTGCCTGAGGAGGTCCTGCTCTAAGTACAAGCCTGTGGGATATTGCTAAAGGCAGCTGCTCTTCATGGAAGAGCACATTGGACGGGTCCTGAAGCAGCTTTTGAGGAGCAGGCTGAAGCTAGGTTATTATGGCTTGAGATGCTAAGCTTCAGGGCTATACAGAAAGGAAAGAAAATGTAAGCTGGCTGTGCCAGAGGATAAACCTCATCCTCATCACATCATCTCACTGGTCCATCAAGATGTGTTCTCCTACACTGACCGGTGGTACAACCGCAAATGTTCCTTCTTCACTCTCTGAGGATGAAACCTGGTGATTATTCTTCTTGTAAGCTGGCAATGAAATGTTGTTTCCATCTATAAAAATGAGGTCACCCTCTGATGGCATTCCCAGATGTGGTACATCATTCACACAGAAGTTATACTGCAGTAGCAGGGGAGTCCTGCTGAGCACAGTCTGTGAAATAAGAGTTTGGCTGCACCTTAGGCAAAGACCAGGTCTTTGCAACATTGCTTGCAGATAAGGGGCAATTTTGAGTGTCTTTTTTCTTCCTTTTTTCTGAAATGGCTTGCTTAAATGGGGCTGGCTTAAGATCTTCAGTGGTAATTAAATTCTCTCTGAACTGCTCCCATGGTTACTTATCATGTACTGGGTGTACAATTCAACTAACGGAGGCTAACATCTCAAGAAGCACTTAAAACCTGATCTGTATTCTCTGCTGAGCTTATATCTCACTTCGAATCAGCATGATCCTGGAAAGAGAGAGTGTGTTTGTAGCTGGATGGGAAACAGCTTACATATTCCTTTGTAGTCATGTTTTGGGACAGCAGAGCCCCTTCCCCATAATCTGTATGTCCTGCTTTCACACAATCCCACTGTGTTACAGTCTGGAGGGACCTGGATCATAAATGATCCTTCTCAGTGGAGCACTGATGTCTATTAACAGATACTTTTCCTTCAACCCTGATATCTGGTGATACTGCTCCCCAGACTATTCCTTACAGTGGTTGGGAAGCTTGCCCCAGGTACTCAGATTCCTGAGCATAGACCTGTGCGTTTTCATGGCAGCAAGGTACTTTTCCCGGTGAAATTTGTCACCAGGTTCACTGGTTCCTTAGGTCTGGGACAACTTGAAGAAAGTCTCCATCAGAGCCATGGACTGGCTTTCCTCATGCTTTGCTTCTTGGTGTTCGAGGCTTCTCGGGTTGTCCCCTGCCCTGGCTGGGGTGTGCACCATGCCTCACGGGAACCCTCCCCAAGGGCTCCAGCTTCCATCAGAGGGAAGGAACGTGCCAGCCACCAAAAACTAGAGTCTTTTAATCTCCAAGACAGTTTTCCCTGTTCTGAGATGTGTCTGTCTCTTGCATTTCCTGTGATTACTGTGGAAGCATTGTCTCCTTTTGCTGTCTGCCCTGTATTTTCACGGTGCTTTGGAGGCACTTTTTAGTCCCTGACCTCTCTCCTATGGTTGATATGCCTCTAATCACAACAAATGCACAGGAAATAGGCAAGGTTAGTGCGGTATTGGTTCATACCATAGCAGCTGATCCTGGCCATCATTTCTCTTTCAGAATTTGTACTCACAAAGAAAAGTCATTAAAAGTGTGTACCCCAAAGTGCCCAATTATTTGTTACCCATGACAGGCCTTTGATCCTGCACGGCAGCCTTGGTATGTGATTGGCCATTTCAGAAGCATTTTTACTGTAGCAATAAACACTTCTCTCCATACACCTGTTCTGCTAACAGCCTTGACGTTGTGCAGGAAAACCTAGTGTAAAGTGACTTCCCAATGCAAAAATAATTCCAGAAGTACCTCACTGAACACACTTCACCATCTTCCACCAGGATGCAAACGATCTCTTCTTGATTTCCCAGGTCCTAGCGATGTGTTTGCTTGCAGAAGGTCAGCAGCTGTACCTGCACTGGAGTCACAAGGTATGGACAATCAGGGCTTTCTGGTATCTCTAATCCATGGTTTAAACCAATTGAGTCTGTGGTGTTTCTCTGCATGAAAAACATCTTAGATGATTACGGGAGAGAAGGAAGAGATGGAAGAGGTTAATCTCAGGAGACTTTTGATACCCATGAGAATGATATCTCCACCTCAGCTGATCACCTAAACTCCCTTTCAGTCAGTGGAGGGAAATGAATCCTCTGAGGATGAAATTCATCCAGGTGGTCATAGACATCTAAGCTAAGATGAGATGAATCACACCTAAAGTACCTTTTTCCCCCACTGACTCCAAAAGGAGCTTGTGGTGACTCATTCAGGTGAAGATGTCTATATTTGACACATCTACATGTGGTAACATGAGGAAAAAAGCAAATTTTCCATGAGAAGCACAGTGTAATTTTCTGCAGCAGGTTCCAGCAGCAGTAAAAAAAAGTGGCTGCTATCTCTGCAGAAGAGAAGTCAGGCTTTTCCAAGGCATCTTGGTGCCTTATGCCTTTTGGTCTTTGGGTGGTTTGAAAAGGCCACCTGGAATTTTGAAGGGGCAGAAACAAATCCTCAGAGAGCTGTTGCTGCAAAATGATGCATTAGAATCACTTTCCTTAAGCATTTCTTGAGGCTAGTGAAGTATTTAAAAAATGAGCCTCTAGCCATGCAGTTTAGGGGAGAATATAATGTGATTGCAAATCTTGCAGTGGAAGGGGATAGGTGAACATGCAGATACTTGATCCTGTGTTTCTTCATTTAAGTAATGGAAACACAGTCATCTTTACTATTGGAAATTGGCTTCCAGAAGAACCAGAAAGATGTAGAACAATTTGTAAAAAAAAAAAATAATTGAGACTGCATCCTTGGGTGGAAGAGATTATTAAGGTGTCGATCTGCAGGATCTCCTTGAAGAATGGTTAGAACCTTGGTCCAATTTCCACTTAGTTCCAGAAGATAGATGATGTACCAAGAAGAGCCTGCCATCACAACTGTGCTGCTACAAAACTGTGCAAGAAGCCAAAAATAGGTTTTGCTACTGCCTCGCTTTTTTAGTTAGAAAGTGGATCCTCATCTCTTAATTATGGGAGTGTTTGCTGTTGCCGAAGCATGCTGCAAGGCAGCTCATAGCATAAAGAAGCTGTGTTGCTGTCTCTTTTGGGTGGAATTCATCACTTCTGAATTTAAGCAGTCCATGCTGCTTAAGTAAACCTGTGAGTCAAATGGATGGCACACCCCGTGCAGAAATGTTGAAGCTGATTTATGTCTTTTTTGTCTCCCCAGATCGGGACTTTTCTTGTCCTGGGCTTTTCTATCACAGCCCTCTTCATATTATCGGTACTCTGGGGAGATCAATGGAAAACTGTCCGCCTGTCATTCCAGGTAAGAGGGGCTTGGAGATCTATTTGAAAGAACTACTTGTTTATAGAAGTATTTTTTGCTAATTGGTAGAAAAATATTGTGTATGGTGGGTGTTTTTCACAGGTGGTTTTCTGGCAGGGTATGTGGTTTTGAGTAAACTTTTATTATGACTTGAACTTTCCTGCTGGGAGAAAGGAAGCCAAGACCTGAGGTTGAGTTTCAAGCTATCTGATGTAACATGTCTCAGTTTGGGAAGTCCCATACTTTTTTTTTTTTTTCTTGGCAAAAATCTTGTAGGTGTACTGTTAATTTGCAGGTGCTCAGGGCAGGTAAATCAGACCTTTTTGGCTGGTAGGGTTGCTGAAGCAAGATTTTTCTCCCTAATCAGCTCCTGCCAGTTCAGCAGCTTTTGTGTTAGCATCATTTCAGTTTTCTGTGACTCAGAAGAGCTTCATCTCCTGATGGCAGGACAGCACTGAGTTTTTGGGGAGCAGGTGAGGAACGCTGGTGTCAGGCGGGACAACATGCTGGCTGCAAGAAGTCAGGGTGCATGGTCTGCTGGCCTCGTCAGTTCTCACCAGATCTGAAGATGGAGGCAAGAGCTGCCCAGTGTGGTTTAGTGTCTGAGCATCTGGGCCCCCACATGTATTGGGAAGGAAGAAGTATGTAGCCTTTGACTACGCAACTGTCTTGCAGATGTTATTTGGGCTTATCACCTCTTTCCCATGTGGCTTACTGCTTGTGAATGTTGGGAGAGCAATGCATATGGACTGGAAGAGGAATCACAGAAGTGGTCTTTGTAGGGTGTGGTTCATTGATTTGGTAACTGTTGGGCTATGCACTGGCAAAGGTAATGAGAAAACATTAGCTTCTCCTCCTTGACAGACTCCAGGGGAGGTGGATGAGGAGGAGGCACAAGAGCCTTTGGGTTCCCCACAGGTGCTGTTTATTTTGTATGTTCATGCCCTTTGAGATGCTTCACATGGTCTCCAGCTGCAGTTCCCAAAGGACATGTATCTCCTGCAGATCCTGTCTCATGTCCACTCGCCCTGCAAAGCTCTCTCAAATATCCTGGACATCTCAGATGGCATCTCTGTTTATGCAACTGAATCCTGCTTCTGATAAAAAGATGTTGGTATCAAGTGTCCGGGGCAGACGGTGCCACATGCAATAACATCACAGTTCTAGCTGGTACAGAAACCATGGGGCTTTGATGAGCATGAGAAAATGATGGACTGGTTTCTTTGACAGATTTGCCTAGTTTTATGAAAAGTGTATCATACCAACATCCATTCAGTGTCTGTACAAGTGACAAACTATTTCTGCTTGGTTTCCAGCTCTGCACATACATTCATGATAAGCACGGAAGTGATTCTTAGCTTCTGATCTTGTTTAAGCTTCAGAATTAAATAAATCAAGTCCAATTGCTGTATCTGTCCAGCAATAGGTATTATCTAATATATCATAAGCATTAAATATACTGTTTTGTGTAAGTAAGTGAATCAAGAGAAATAACTATATATTAACAGTAAAGAAAAAGAGAAAAAAATACAATTAGTACTAATGCAAGGGAATTAAATGCTTTGCATTAAATGAAAATGAATTATTTTTACTGGTATATATTGATAATATGTGAAACTAGGTACTGCAGGGTGTATTTGAGTCTAATAAAGTCCATGATCAGACATGTACCAGATTAACTACTTCTTTTATGCAATAACAGTTCCATACAGGTGTAAATACCACATTTTTATCACTCAGGTTTGTTGACATCAGTTTAATGATTTAGCTGCAGTGGATGGGATAGGATTGGATTGGGTAAGATTGATTAAGCTGGCTGCTCCCTGGAAGATGCTCACAGATTATGGCATAGCAGTAACGGCAACCATGTCCTCATGGACAAGGACAGCCATGTCCCCTTCAGCTGACATAAGAGAAAGGAGAGCTGTGTAGTGCAGTGAGGAGCACTTCTTAGCCTGGGTAGCTGGCCTGTCTAGGGGCACATACCCCTCCTCCAAATCCAGAGGTTTTTGGTGGATCCAACACAGTTGCAGGAGAGAGGTTGGACTGCTGGTATCTGCAGCAGGAGCCCATCCAGGTGGAAGGCTGTAGCCATGTTGGGGTTTGTTTCCATCTGTCTCCACACTTCCTCGTTTGACTAAAATCCTGTTCTCTCCTTGCCAGATCACAGCTCCCTATCTCCACATAGGAGCAATAGCCATCATGGTCCTCCTGTCCTGGCCTGTGGCTCTTCATGCCATCAGAGCAGATAAGAAAGGTACAGTAGCTCTGCTTCCTGCCCCCTATGTGATAAAAGACATATATCAGTGTGGGAGAACAGGCGTGCAGGAGCCCTTTCCTCACACACCTTCACTCTAGCTGAGGTGACTTTTAGCCTTTGTGTATCCCAGAGAAATTGGGGGGGGCTGGGGCTTGGGCTGTGCACCGTCCTGTGGCTGTCCATATGCATTACTGGTTTGCATGCTCCCTTGCACAGTTTTGCCCTATACCAAGGTAATGACCTACCTTGAGATGGAGGAGATTAGCAGAAGTACCCACATTCTGAGTCATGCATGGAAATTTGGTCAGCCCTCTGCAGGAGAAAGCACCAGTGGCAGCTCTCTTGGCTGACCTTTACTTGCTATACTCAGCTTCACTGTCTCAGAAGGGATCTCCAGTCCAGTCAATCCACTTGAGACTAGTGCATCTCAGGAGAAGCCAGCTGAGATAGGGAAAAGAGCTTTTTGGTCAGTTCCTGGTGTTATCTTATGGGAAGTTCCTGTCCGCCTCTGAGAAGTGTGACCAAGTAGTGTAAGGACAAGGCCAGATGCCAGGAACAACTGCAGAAGAGCCTGGCGCTGGGACTGGCTGATTTTCTCTGACCTAGTCTCTCCATACAGCCAAAATTATCTACATGACACCCATCTGCAGATGTTGATTTGTAATAAAAATCTCAGAATGGGCTTGTGAAAGTATTTTTTTTTCTGCCCAGCGTTTTTCTTATTGAGCTCTGCTGGGGAGGTTGAGGGGGAATATGCTGGGACCCTAAACATTACAGTCCACCATGCCCAATGGACTGTCAGCTCAATACACCAGCTTGGTGTAAGCCCAAGTTCCTTCAGAGCCACTGGCACAATATGCAGAGGGGTGGTGGTACCCATTTCAGAAAGGGATGTTGGTGCATAGGTGCTCATTTCTCAGAGGAACTGTTTTGTTCCCTGAGGTGAAGGCTGATGGGGCTCTTGGGAAATGTATCAACAGCGTCCAGAGAAGATCATAGGTAATGAGTTGGCAAGTTGTTGAGATCCAATACCTGTGCAGTCAAAGTCTGTAGGATTCTGTAGGTCACACACAGAAGGTCACTGACAGCCATCTGAACCAGGGAAGTATTCGCCTTAAGGGCATGTAACATAGTTGAAGGGGAAAGGTTCCTTCTTCGCTGTGAATGAAACTTCAAAATGTTGCTTGTTCTTATCTGAGTCAGAAAAAAAATGAGCATACTTTTTTACAGATGGGGGATATTTTATTGCACCACCTCTAAAAAAAAAGAAATTAAGGCCATGTCTTGCTTTAAGGCATAGTGAGATGTAATTAAGGCACACAACCTGCAGTCCTGACTTAGCCCATGTCCTTGCTTTGATCAGTTTTGTTTTCATTGTTTGGAGAGAAAGTGAAAATTAGGGGAAGGGATGGAAAAAAGGATGGGACAAAGCCCAGCAGCTATTTAGCAGGAGGGCTGCATTAAAAGTTAAGCCGCAAGGCAAACCCCTATGTTACTGCATGGATTAACTCTAGCCTTCCTCCTTCAAATTTTTTCAGTTGTTCAGGTGATAATTGTTGGTCCATACCTGGCTATCCTTCTCTTTCTTTTCTTGATACCGCTGGGGATGTACTCTCCTTGCATCAGAGAGATGGGGACACTTGGACCAAAGCCAGCCCTCATTGGACACCGTGGAGCACCAATGGTAGGTCTGGAGAAGTTATTTTACATAATTTCTTTATCCTGTGTCTTGCTACCTTCATCATCATCTTCTGTTTTTTTTCCCATGAAATCTGTGGAGGGTGGAAGGGGAGACATGCCGAAGGCATCACTGCATGAGTTTGCTAACAATGATAACACTGTTCCTGATGGACGAGATGGGTTTGGTGGCTAAAGTGGAAGAAATCAAACAGTAGACTTTAACAAGATAATGATGCCCCCTTAATAAAAAACAGACGTGTTACAAAGAGACAGAAAGTACTTTTAGAGTCCTCCAGAAAGTGTCTGAAAAGATCTGCTCATGCATTTTTTTTTTTTTTTTTCCAGCTGGCACCAGAAAATACTGAGATGTCATTTCAGAAGACAATTGAACATGGTGGGGATGGTCTTGAAACAGACGTCACGATCAGGTAAGGGGAAAACATCACATCTCACAGAATATACACTTCTTCTTCTAAGAGTTGCCTTTTGACATGTGCAACTCCAGGAAATTAGGTTTTACTGATGCATGGGACAAGGTCCCTCAGTTGGTGCGTGATGATAGGGGCTGTAGGGCATGGCTGTTCTCAGGCAAGTCAATAAGCTGTAGCTATTGATTTAACAATCATTAATTCTACAGTATATTTTAAATGCTTTGCAGCGTATAAAGACAAGTTCTTACCCTAGTCTGACTCCCAGGCCACAGTGAGGGTTCTATCAGGCCTAGAAACCAACAGAAAATTGTGTTCAGACTTGTGACAGCATTGTCCTAATTATTAGACCTTTAATTGCCTTTGTTTGGGAGACCCATTGCCATGAATTGCTAACATGCTGTGCAGGATAAACAGTCTCCAGGCACTGAATGAGAAAAATACTAATGCTTAGATGTTCTACTAATGTAGACCTTTCTACAAGAGAAAATTTTGCCTTTCCATCACTGTCCATTTAGATTTCATTCCTCTGAAACCCATAGAAACATTTTGGTGTCGGCAAAGAGATTTCAACCATAAGTTGCTACTCATTTTGTCGGGGTCTGGGAGGCATAAATGCCACTATCTTCACTTTACTCCTGAGGAAACTGAGGCACAGACAGGCATGACTTCTCCAAGGTCACCCAGCAGTATTTAAGCTAGAAATAACCTGGTGTCTTGAGCCTCAGTCTTCCTCCCTATCGCGCCTTCTGCACTGAAGGAGGCTGTAGTGCCACATTCACAGTGTCCCACATACTCCTCTGACCTTGCATGAGTCTGCTCATGCCGTGAATGAACCTGCACCCCAGGTGATCTGAACTCTTGCTCTCCAACAGCTATGATGGTGTTCCTTTCCTCATGCATGACAGCACCTTGAGGAGAACAACTAACATCAAGGAGGTCTACCCGAATGACACTGCTCAAAATGCTGCATTATTCTCCTGGGATACTCTGAAGGAGTTGAATGCTGGAACATGGTTCCTTAAGGTAAACGCCATAAAGGACAATCACCAAATGGATGTAGAAGTGGCACCAGCTGGCTACTGTGCAATAGCATGAATGTCAGGGAGAGAAACCACTGGTTGAGCCAAAACTCAAGGAAGTCAGTACAAATCCTTCAGTTGGGGTCTCCTTGCTTTGTCCAGTTGGCCTTTAGACTTCAGAGACCTGTAACAATTGGCTGGTGGGTGTTCTTCTGGCTCCTTATCATGACAGCAGCAGCAGATGTGGTCTAGAGGAAGAAGACAACAGCTACTTGTGCAAGGTGCTGTGTATAACAATCACAGCTAACAGTGGGACAGAGAAGCACAGCAGAGCTAGCTGTGAACTCCACAATTTAGGTCCCAGAAGCAGTGTTGTCACACCTGGGTTAATTTCCCTTGTTTCTCAGGTAGAAGAGCTAAGCAAAATAAAATAGCCTCACCTGCTGATGGCTGATGTCAAATGTTTTCCCCCCTTAGAGTTATGAGTTTTTTGCATGCAGCTGACTCCCAGAGTTGACTGCCTGATTGATTTCCTTTTTTATATCTGTTTATTTCTAGGACAAACCATTTTCATGCATGGGCTCACTGTCAAGGGCAGATCAAAACCAGGCAATGAATCAGTCAATTTACAAGCTAAGTAATTTCTTGCGCCTCGCAGACAGTCAGAATAAACTTGTGATATTTGATCTCTACCGCCCTCCAGAGAAACATCCTTACAGGAACTCGTGGATCAACAGAACCCTGGAAGTCATCCTCAATGAGTCGGGGATTAGACCCCATCTGGTAGGGTGGCCTCACTCCTCTGTATCTTTTTTTCTTGCTCTCTGAATTGGGACTTTGGGATCACACCCTGCATGATTTCTCCTGCATAAAGTCCAGGCCCTTTAATTTCACTTGTTTTAAGAGGTATCATTTGGAGTATATTCCTACTATTGGTTCCTCAGCAGGTACAAAATGGTGTAACCCTACCGCAGGACTGGGAAATAAGCCGGTGTATATACCAGCTGATGCCTTAGCCCCCAAACGACATCCTTTCATCACGGTAATAATTGGCAGCCTACTCCCTACCACCCATGCTTATTTTATATATTGCATGGAAACTCCTGGCTTAGATTAAAGCACATGAAGCTGGGAGCCTTCATTTGCCTTTGTCCTTCCCTACGCAACTCCCTGCTCAGGATTGATGCAAAATGCATGTGGATCAGGCTATGTATCCATTGATGTCTGGGGAGTTACGCTGATTTGTATCTGCTGAAGTTCTCTTCTCCCATGCTGGGAGAATGGGAGAACAGAATATTTTCTGTGGCCTTTCCCATAAGCTAAAACTGTCTTTTCATCCATTTCCTACACCACATCTTTTGTTGGGCTGTGTGAAACATACTCACTGATTTCAAGTTGATAAGCAAGGAACAGTGAATAATTATTTCTTGATTGCAAGTTTTAACGTTGCATCCAAATTTTCTTTGATCATTGTAAGAAATGCGTCATTTGACTGGCAGTGTTAAGGTCTTCAAGACCTTATCTTTACTGGGTTTGTGTGAAGGGCAGGGCATAGTAGTAAGTCTGCTGAGAATTCACTGGGTTCTCTTGTTGCCTGCAGGTCCTATGGCTGGAGAATGACATGAGGTCCTTTGTTCAGTCTGTTGCTCCTGGGTTTCAGCAGACAATGGGCAGTAAGGCCCCAGTTGAAGACCTATTGATGGACAATATTGTCAAACTCAATCTGGCCTACACTGAAATGTCTAGTGAAGATATCCGGTAGGTTGCAGTTTCAGCCCCAAGTACAGTCGGTGGACTGCATCTGGCTATGTTTGCCTCATGCGTGTGGCAATGTCTCCCTCCAGTGACCAGCGCCAGGATCTATAGCATTTTGGGAAGAGCTCCTTTGCATCAAGTGGCCATCCCAGTTGCATTTTTGGAGTGAGGACTGTAGTTCACTCCAACTGTTGACCGTGTGTGTAGCCAAGAGGTGGGATATGTAATTACACCCCCCTGTGCCCAAGTCCATATTTACTTGACCAGGATCTGAGGATCTTCTGAGTAGGATAACACAGCTGTATCTTGATTTCTTGTCTTTCTATTCATGCCATCCCCATTCCCACCAACACTAGATCATGGAGAATGAACAACTACTTAACCTCCCATGGCTCTTCCACAAACATCAGTGTGAGTGCATAATGCTGTGGTGAGAGATCATCACCCTCTTGTAGCTGGTGTTTTGGAAACTTCATTTCTTGTCTCTGTTGCTACCATTACTCTGTTGCTTGTGACACACTGAAAATGTCATCTCTCCAATGGAAGACTCCACGTTCATTGCAGGAGTTTCCAAAATGGTTGTCTTCTATGAAGAAAAAAAAACAAAACAAAACCAGTCTTACCTGTCCAGCTTTTCTTTTGTAAACAGAACTAAAGAATCATGGAATGGTTTGTGTTGGAAAGGATCTCAAAACCCATCTATTTCCAACCCCCTGCCATGGGCAGGGACACCCTCCACTAGCCCAGGTTGCCCAAAGCCCCATCCAACCTGGCCTTGAACACTGCCAGGGAGCCAGGGGCAGCCACAGCTTCTCAGGGCAACCTGGGCCAGGGCCTCACCACCCTCATCAGAAAAAATTTCTTCTCAGATCTCATCTCACTTTCCCCTCCTTCATCTTAAGGCCATTCCCCTTGGTCCTATCACTCCCTGCCCTTGTCAACAGTCCCTCTCCAGCTTTCCTGTAGGCCCCTTCAGGTACTGGAAGGGGCTCTAAGGTCTCCCTGGAGCCTTCTCTTCTCCAGGCTGAACAAGCCCAACTCTCTCAGCCTGTCTCCAGAGCAGAGGTGCTCCAGCCCTCAGATCATCTCCGCGGCCTCCTCTGGACTCGCTCCAACAGCTCCATGTCCTTCTTGTGCTGGGGACCCCAGAGCTGGACGCAGTACTGCAGGTGACGTCTCATGAGAGCGGAGTAGAGGGGCAGAATCCCCTCCCTCGACCTGCTGGTCACGCTGCTTTTGATGCAGCCCAGGACGTGGTTGGCTTTCTGGGCTGCAAGCGCACGCTGCCGGCTCATGTTGAGCTTTTCTTCAACCAACACCCCCAAGTCCTTCTCCTCAGGGCTGCTCTCCATCCATTCCCCTCCCAGCTTGTAGTTGTGCTTGGGATTGTCGCGACCCACGTGCAGGACCTTGTCCTTGGCCTTGTTGAACTTCATGCAGTTTGCCTGGTCTCAGCTCTCCAGCCTGTCCAGGTCCCTCTGGATGGCATCCCTTCCCTCCAGTGTGTTGACCACACCACACAGCTTGATGTCATCTGCAAACTTGCTGAGGGTGCACTCGATCCCACTTTCCATGTCACTGACACAGATGTTAAACAGCGCCAGTCCTTGTACCGACCCCTGAGGAACACCATTCGTCACTGGTCTCCACTTGGACATTGAGCCATTGACCACAACTCTTTGAGTGTGACCATCCAGCCAATTCCTTACCCACCGAGTGGTCCATCCATCAAATCCATGTCTCTCCAATTTAGAGACAAGGATGTCGTGCGGGACAGTGTCAAATGCTTTGCACAAGTCCAGGTAGATGACATCTGTTGCACTTCCTTTAGCCACCAATGCTCTCACCCTGTTGTAGAAGGCAACAAGTTTGTCAGGCACGATTTGCCCTTAGTGAAGCCATGTTGGCTGTCACCAGTCACCTCCTTATTTTCCATGTGCCTGAGCATTGTTTGCAGGAGGATCTGCTCCATGACCTTGGCAGGCATGGAGGTGAGACTGACTGGCTTGTAGTTTCCCAGGTTTTCTTTTTTTCCCTGTTTAAAAATGGAGGTTATGTTTCCCCTTTTCCAGTCATCCATCTAATGGGAAGATGTAGAGAGGATGGAGCCAGATGTTTCTTGTTTATTCCCCATGCTACGTGCATCTGCATAGAGGCATTTAAATTGGACACCCGATGAAGCTGACACTGGCTGGAGTGCCAAAAAAATAGGATTTTTTGCTCCTTCCCATTCACAAAAATCTAATTTAAAAAAAAAAACAAAGAAGAAAAGAAAAAGTTTAATCCTTTGGATGAGAGCAATGTTCATGTTTACTCAATGATAATTTTCACAGGATGTAAAAACCTAGGTAGATCCATTTGGGTAGATCCTGGATAGATTTACAAATGCTGATATCGATGATACATTGCTTTACCATTGTACAGAGTATGATCTTACTACATATTAAGTTTCAATAGCTCATAATAACTTGAAAAATTATGAGTTGATGCAGCAAACATAACAAACATGAGTTAGCCAGCTTCAAGGTGGTTGTGAACACACTATTGGGAGATTACAAACACATCTTTGCATTGATTCATATGGCAGAAGAGTAAGCAAAGTTTGGATCTTTTGGACATTTTAACTGCATTTTCTTCCAGCAGATCAGCTATTCTGTTTTGACCAATTGTGAATGATTAATTATTGGCTGGTTGGTTTTCCTTTCCATTCCTTATCTAGGTCCTAAAGCAAGTCTTTCCTACAGAAAATTTCTTTCTCCTTGATTCAGCCCAAAGGAAGTACTAACCTGCTTGCTTAATGAAAGCTATTGACTTTTGGTCTTTTAAAGGAAATATGCTGAGGCAAACATCACCACCAACCTTTATGTGGTCAATGAACCATGGCTTTTCTCCCTGGCATGGTGTTCTGGGGCACACTCTGTGACTACCAATGCTGTCCAAACACTGAAGAATCTCAGCCAGCCACTCTTCCTCATGGTAAGCGAAAATCCTCCCCCTCCCAGGGGTAGGAAGTAGGGTTGTGATGTTTGTGGTTACCTTTGGAGACCACAGGACAGTTCATGCATGAATAAAGTATATGACCCTTTGCATGAAAAGGACCCAAGTTGAAACCTGGCTTACCTGACACCCATGAGCCACTCCAGGTATGACCATACCCTTCTCCTCTCTTTTCTTGGCTCAGGTAGAATCACCTTACTTGTTAGGATTTGCAATTTAGGCCTTGAGATGAGTGAAAAGAAGTCATATTGAGATTTGTGTGGGGAGAAAGGAAGGGCGTTTCAGGGCACATTCTGATGGATGAAAATTTCCATTTCTAAGCTTTTGAAGCACCTTACTGATGACAGAAGTTCCATTTCCCATGGCTTCCCACTGCCCTTCAAGTCCAAGGGAAACAACCATAGAAATAACACTTCCTTGCTGGGAGGAATTTTTCACGTAATTTGTCTATTCCCTACTTGGACAACTGTAGGGCTAAGGAGCACCTGGGGCACTGGTCCCAGCCTAAAGGTTACTACTATGAATAACTGGTTTCACACTCTTGAAGTAGGTTTTACGATGCTCCCATCCAGAAAACTGCAATGTTTCAGTCCATTCTGAGGGTGGGTGGGTGTCCAGTCTAAGGATGAATCTTCAGATGCTCTTAGACTTAAAGCAGGAGCCACCCCAGACCCTCTGGTGCTCAATGAAAGACAATTTTTCCAGTGAAAATGAGATGCCACCAGTTGACATCAATATTGGAGGCAAGCACGGTGAACTAAAGGACCTTCTTGTACAAACAAGAGTTCCCTGTTATAGTCACTGTGATGTGGTACAATCTTCTTGGCCGCACAACAGACCTGTTTTTATGAAGGATGATGATTTGGCACCAATACCCACTGGTGAGTGGCCACTTTGAAATGCCACCAAATGTTTTAAACACCTGAGGGATGTTACTGCACATGCAAACCAGGCAGCTGAATGGCCACATTTGAGCAGCAAGAAAGAGCTTGAGCAACTTTTTTGCATATCTCGGGGTCCTGGTGGTGGACACATCCTCTGCTGTTCTCTTCCAGACTCCACAGCAGTACAACATCATGTGGATCCTGACAGATCTGACCTCTGTGCTCCTCATCTCACTCATCTTTGCTCTGCACTGGTAACTACTAAGTTGCTAATGGCCATGCTAATTGGATCTTTTGTGCCAGTTGGAGAGAAGGAGGGATGTTTCCAGGTGATCTGAAGGGTTCAAACTACTCTTGAGAAGATTTTATGTCCTTTCAGGAACTAGAAGAAAGCCCTGAAAGTCTCCAAATAAATACCTCTCTGTTTCTCCTGCTTGCTCTCATTTTCCCTTTCCATTTTGGCACTACCCTCAGGAGTCAGTGGAGACCTGATGTATTTTCAGTAGCAACATAAACCAGTTATCAAAGTTGATGAGAGGAACTGATTTTTCTATTTTTACTATTTAGACATACACTATTTTATGGGACTGACTTAGGAGGAAAGGTCTCAGTGTTAATATTTGACCACCCTGTGTAGTGTCTGCATACGGCAGAGCCCCTGAGGAAATCCATCATCCCATATGAAAATGTCTGAGTGTCACAGACACCACATTTTGTTTCCTCCCATCCTGCCAAAGACATTGCCTCTAATTACTGGGGAAACTGGAGTTCATGGGACAGGCACAAAGTGGCTCCTTCCCTTCCTCACCTGGCATTGCTCTCAGCAGTCCTTCCCCAAGCCCTGCTTTAGAAGTTTCCACCTTGCTTTCAAGGCTGCAAGTTGCAGAGTGGTTCACAATAACCCCTGCAATGCATCACCACCACCGTCAGACCTTCCCATGCCTCTCTCCTCCAGGCTTCTGTTCATGTTGTGTGTGCATTCCCCAGGGCCCTGAAGATGCTTCTGATCCTGCCAAACAACAACCTCTTCTGGGCTAGCATTGCAGCAAGGGCTCTGCTGGAAGTGAAGGGCCATCAGCAGTGCCTGAGAGCCCTGCATGGTCTTGTTTGTCAGGTTTGTGAATGCACCAAAATCACAATTTTTAAATTTCCCTGGCTGCTTAGGAACCAGCAGCTGAAAACATTTCTGGGGTTTTTTGAAGTCTTAAATATTTCTTAGAAAACAGGGCTTAGTCACAAAGTTGCCTTCAAAATGCTGTTGCGTACATGGAGTCTCTTCTCGGTAAGGACCTGAGCAAATCCCAAAATACCAGGGCAGTTCCTGCCATGACCATGTAGAAAAAAGATGACCAGGGCATCAGGGAGCTGCGAGGGGAACCACAGCAAGCGGTGGCCTGACCCAGGTGCTTTACCCCGCACAGGTGGCGAGAGCGGAGTTTCTCCTGCTGTGCCCATGATGGTGGCCCGATGCTGGAGAGTGGCACCTACAACAAGTTCAGGACAGGTGAGCAGGACAAGGAGAGCCGGGAGCCTCATCCTGCTCCGGGCCGTCTCTGCAGGGGTACCAATGTCCTGGTGGAGAGGTTGGTGATGGATGCCTGTGCTGTGGTGAAGGATGGCTGCATCCTGGGTTGTCTCAGGTGCAGGTGGCAGTGACTTCTCCCCTCTGCTAGCACTGGTGAGGCCATGTCTAGGCACTGGGTCCAGTTCAGAGGCTCTCCAGTACCAAGCAGATTGGGGCCTCTAAGCTGGAGGATGGGCCATTTGAGATCTGGGTTTGCACAGTGGGAGAGAAGGTCAAGGGACATCTTATCCCTGTCTGCAACCATCTAATGGGAGGTTGTAGACAAGATGGAGCCAAATGTTTCTTGGTTCTGCAGTGACAACAGCACAAGCTGCAACCTTGGAAATTTTGACTAGATATAAAGAGAAGCAAAAGAAATCTCCCCCATGAGAGTGGTCAGAAACTGGAACAGGGGCCCAGACAGGTGGGGAATATGCACCCTCAGGAATGTTCAAAGCCCTGAGCAGTTCAATCTAATTGGCCCTGCTTCAAGCAGAGGTTGGGGCAGAGACCTCCAGATGTCCTTCCAATATGCATTACTCTGTGATGCTGTTAAAAGAGAGCCCAGAGGTGCTGAGCACTCTGAGCAAGGCAGGGTGGGATCGGCTGGGGACCCTGCCATGCACCACGTTTCTGCACCCATGGAGCTATCATCCAGACAGAATGACCTGACCTGGGCTGCATGCATTTTCAGCCAGGTTCTATTTGCTCATGATGGCTGGTAAAACAACTGCAGATGTTTCAGTAGCTCACTGCGTGTTCCCTTTTCCAGAGCTCAGCGACATGCCGGCTGTCATGGCTTGACAGGGACAGGGAGGGGACACGGACCTGCCATCTCAATGAGGACTGGAGAGCAGACCCTCCCTGCTGCCCCTTTCTGCAATGCAAATATCAACCTGCTATGGAGGCCAGCTCCGGGGGGGGCTCAGATCTTCCTGGTGTGGAGAAGCCTTTGCCTCTGTGACGCTGCCAGAGATGAGCACCGACCTTCCTCTCCTACAGTTGTTCTTGCAGTCCTGTGCCTGGCAGGGATCTCTGGGGTATAGGGGAGCACAGACAGAGTTGGAGCCGTGAAGAAACTGTGCACCATGATGAGATGCAGCAGCCACATGGGAGCCACCATTTCCCTCTGAGACCACTGGCATCCCACAGAGCAATCATCCTGTGATCTCTCCGGCCATATGTAAGCTCTCTGTTTCCACAGCTGTGTTTTACACACACTGCAAACATCTGACCTTCTTCTGGTCCTCCTTGTTCATGGCTGCCCACATTTCTCCTGTCAAACCAGCCTCTTACTCCCTCCCTCCTCTCAGGTCTCCTCCATCTCCAAGAGCACACCAGACCCATCATGATGGTCAAGTTCACCATGGTCCATACCTCTTCATAACGCAGGCAGGGGCAGCTTAGGTTTTCCCTTTCCCCCCTCTTGCCCTGCCAGAGACCCTAAGAGGACAGTCTCTTCCCCTTGGCTGTGGGTGAGGGCATATCTTCCCATGGGTTCTGAAGGACTCTGGTGCCTTGGCCTTGTAACTACTGGGACTATGACAAAGAGCACAATGCTTTTCTTCAGAAGGATGGAGCTGCATGTGGATTGGTCCCACCAAGTGTCCTGTTTGCTCTTCCCTTGGGAAGGTCTCTATGTAAGCTCTGCACCCTGGGATTTATTCTGATTTACATTTCTCCCAGTGGCTTCTGGCACATTGGGGGAAGGGGGTCTATGCCTTGTTCTACAAGGGAGATGTGAGCATCTCCCAGGTTTAAGCCATAAATTCTACTTGAACAGGTATTAACACTTTTTTTTTGTAAATTGCAAGTGCTCTTCTAAATACATTTTAGCTCTCCTATCCTGTTTTGTTCTTATTCCATGAGACTGGGAAAGGGGAAGAAAATAGTAGTCTTTACCTGAATTAGGCTATAGACATTTTCTCATACATAAGCCTCATGTAGCTTTGTGTTTTTGGTAAATAAAGTGAATTGTGACAAGGAAGCATTAGGTTTCAGAGTTAACTGTGCTGAGAAGCACTCAAACCTTTCCAAGTTACAATTTGGGGGTATTTTGGAGGCTAGACATGCAAGAAGCAGCATCCTCTTTTAGAAAGGTGCTAAAGGGCTGGTGGATTGGTGTGGAGTAGCTCCAGATCTATGAAGCATGGGGACAAGATGCTACTGGTGGTGTTCATTTTTTTTTTTGTGGGTACCACTCCTGTGGAGGTACGTAAGCAGCAAAATTAGGAGATGGTTGAGAGATGGCGAGCGCCGTGGGGTCCTCAGCCTGTACCCTGATGTCCAGGTGAGGGACTTGGCTGTGATCCCCCAACCGCTGCTTTTAACACGTATTAGGAAAAAAACACCTCAATACACCTTCAGCCATGTATTTAGCTGCTGCTTGGCCATTAAGCAGTGATATCTCCCTGTACTTACCTTCCTCATCCTCAAAAACCTTGTCCAGGCAAAGCCTGGCAAATTAGACCTGTGGTTTCCTTCAATGCCTTATGCCCTGTCATATCTCAGCTACTATTTTTGCTGCTTCACAGCTAGCAGGGTCTGCAATGCCATTAAGCATGTGGCTGGTAGTCTGACTCCCACACACAAACTTTTCACCCAGTATTTCTTATATCCAGAGGTTCAGCTCAAAACTGGACTTTGGCTTAGAGAACCAGCCCTTGTCTTAGAGGATGATGAAGACCCCCAGGCTCCAGTGTTTTTTACCCAAAATAAAAGATTTCACTTAATTTCCTGTCCATGCACATTGATGATTTGCTCCCGATTGCTGGATACTGTCACCAGGAGTCCTACTCTGCAAGGAGAAGTCCTGTCCCCAGAAAGGACCTGGGAGCCCTGTGCCCACCTTTCCCCACGGAGACACCACCACAACCGCGCAGTGCAGAACAGCTTCCCACAAACCATTTGATGCTTTTTTAATTAGAGTATTTCGCTTGGACATACGTTTTTCATGTTACATCACTTGATGTGAATACAAAGAGGCCAGCAGACGCTAATACATATGACACACAGGCACACGCACACAGAGTCCCGGCACCTCCCAAAATGGTGGGGTGCATGGGAGGCTGACAGAGCTTTGAGTGGAGGTATGAGGGTGGTAGCAGGGGGGGGAAAACTGGCCCTGGACAGCGCTGGAAAACACTGCTGTGCTGCATCGTCTACTGAGCGTGCTGTGGGAGGCAGGGATGGCTGAAGACACAAAAAGCAGTGGTGGCGGTGGGGATGATGGGCACGTGTCCAAGGGCAGGTGGGATCCCTAGGATAGCTGGGTCATGGCAGCTGGGGAGGGGAAAGAAGCATCAGAGATGGATGGTGAGAAGGCAGCTCGGCTCCCAGTGTAGCCTTGGCTGGTGTCACCACCTTGTCTGGCTCCTGCCACCAGAATGCCTTGGGTAGGGGGGACGGTGGAGGAAGGGGATCTCCTAGCAGCCCTGGCTGGCTGGTGGATGTCTCCGTGCAGCATCTCATTCACTTTGGTGGAGTAACCAAGATCCAAAGTCACTGCTGCATCCCAGTTAGTTGTCATGTTCCTTGAGGTCTGGTAGGTAGTGCTGCCAACTCTGACAGGCATGCCATAGTGTTGGAGGACTGAGCCCAGCTGAGCTTAACAGAACAACACACAACATCCTACAATATGGACTCTTATAACAGCAGCCAAACTCAGCCCAATGCACAGGACCAAGACAGGTCTCCCACATCTACTTAGATCCACTCAGTGTTAGTGATGCCAGCACCAGATCTTGGTGGACAATTGTCACCCCTCCTGATGCCACACACCCAGGCACATGTTCCTTTGAAGCCTGGATTTTGGAAAGGCACTCCAGGCTCCTTCCCCTGCATCCCCTCAGACACAACATGGCTTCAGCCTCCTCTCTGCTGGCAGGTTCCGCCTCTGCTCCAAAGAAGGCTGGTCCACACTGCGTGGCATCGGGTGAAAGATGGGACAACCGGGCAGCAGATTAGTACAGCTAACCAAAGATGGAGAAAAGCCCACCAAAATCAAGGGCCTGCCCTTGCTGTGAGTGGTTCAGGTCCAGCTGGGACCCATAAAAGAGCCATTTTATACAGCAACATACACAAAAGCACAATAAAATCATTAGCTGTTTCCAACTCTTATGGCCAAGTCCGTGTTTGAATCACAGCTCAACACAGGCTTGGTCTCAGTCTTCCAAGCATGGAGACTTCAAAACCCCCACATCCACATTGAAGCTTGCAGTGAAGACCCTCCCAGGCTCAATTTGCCTGGACAAAGAGGGCAAAAGGAGATAATTTGTCTTCCAAGCTTCACTTCCAGCTGAGCCTGTAAGTTGGGAAAGATGCGCCTTTCCAGGCTCTGGTAATCATGGCTCTGGGGGAATCCCTGGGCAAGGGATTGTCCTGCAGGTTGCCCTCAGCCCCAAGTCAGCATCCAGATACTAGCATGAAATGCAGGGCTTTTTTTTTTTTTTTTCCTTTTTAATATCTTAAAAAATAAATAGAAGAAGAAACAAAACTTTAAAATTTGTTCTTTAAATATTTCCAGCATTGCACAGACAGCACTTTAGTTCTAGCCTCTTCAATCAGTACTTTGTTTATTCTGATTCCTAGTTAAAATGTGCTCTTCCCAGCCTGCTTTTTCTTTCTGTCCTTCTAAAGAACACAATGTATTCTTTTGTAATGTCAAAAACCAAGCCCTTCAGTGTTCATTGGATAGCTTTCCAGCATAGGTTGGAGCTCTGTCATTCCTCTTCAAACCTGAAATGCCCATAACCTCACCAAAAGCCATTAGCATCCCGATAGCTCTCTCTTACTTAAGAAAAAAACCAAACCAAACCAAACCAAGCCATGCACACACGCACACACACACACACACAAAAAACCTCTTCCAAGAACCTTTGCGATGCCAACCATTGGGTTTGGGCAAACCTCCTGCTGGAGTGTCTTTGCTCAGTCACTATCTGAGAGTGGTGGTGTCCCCTGGGAACCTTTGAGGTCTAAGATGGAGTCGGGGTGCAGAGTGGGGAAGGAGAACAGAAGGTCAGAGATAGTCGTCTTCGCTGGAAGGGGAGGTGGGATTTGAACCCTCAAGGTCGGAGTCCAGCGAACTCCCTGACGGTGTTCGGCTCATCTTCCACATCTGGGAGGCAAAGGTTCTCCCCCAGCTGCATGGGTATCCCACAGGCCTCAGCTGGTGAATTAGCCCCATGGCCACCTGCCAGTGACTTCTTGCAGTTCACTTGCTACCCTTTGCACTCCTCTGTTTGCTCATGGCTGTTAGCATCTGGCTGATGTATGAGGTCAAAAGATCATCCATCTTGTACCCCTGAGGAGGAGAGAGAATATGTTACCTGCCTTTAAAGCACAGTCTACAGTCTCTGGCTTGTCCCTCCTGAACCCATTGGCTTTCAGTTGTTGACTTTCAGGTTTTCAAATACATTTTGGCCTGTTCCACAGTTCTCCTTGGGTAAAATGATACCACAAGGAACACAGTCCAAGCATAATTTGCAATGATGAGATGAAGGAACTCAAAATCTCAGGATGCTGTTGAAGGACATAAGGAGCTTTGGATGGAACCTGGATTTTCAAATGGCTAACAAAATACCGAATGCCTCAAATTAATAACAATTAATCCACAGGAATTTTTATCCTTCATGCTTTGGGTTTAAGATAGTCAAGGAGGAGGTTTGTTGCTGTGACTGTTACTATGGGACAAGCTGGGCAAAGTATCTTGGTAAAAGGCCTCAAGAGTACCCCCTGAGCCCATATCTGCTTTAATATGCATTTCAGTCCAGTGACAGGGAGCAGTGTCCCATGCTCCTGAGATGGCAACGTCCCAAGCACCTCAGGCTTGCTCATAAGTTGGATGATGGACCAGGTGAGAGCTCTGATCCATTAAACAGAGCCATGGGAAATACAGAATAAAAAAAACAAACCCAACATTATGGGCTCTTCTAAGAGACCACTTTCAGCCCAGAGAATCCCTGAGACACAATTTGCTGGAAACATTTAATTTTGCCTGCCGAAGTCAGGATTTGGTCTAATTGTGCCAAATAATCTTTAACACTCCTTACCAGGGAGGTCTCACAGAGCAGCTTGCTTCCTCTCACCAGATTGCCAATGGTTATATGGAAGTACGTGTTGCCACTGCTCCAGTTGGAGATCTTGGTGAAGGGGTGAGTGATGAGAATATCCTGGTGGGAACACAAGACTGACACTGAACACACGAGAGCCTCAACTTTCACAAAGCACTGTGGAGACCTCTCATATCCTCGTTCACTCTCCATCAAAGCAGACCAAGGATGTCTACTGAGATGAGACTGTACCATGGCCTCATGGAAATGGCAGTGAGATGCTCCTCCAGTGCTTGAGGAGGACTCTCATACTAGAATGACCACGTGGCTGGTGCAAGTAATGAGTAGGACCTCATTTACTCCAGTTCCTGTCCTAATGTCTGTGAAAGGATTAAAGAAGGAGTGTGTGTATCCTCCAGTTACAGGACCCTAACAGTTGATACTCCCAATCCATCCACTGTTGAAAAAGGCTGGGCTGGCTCTGTGCAACAGTGAATTTCTGCCTCCAGAAACTTTTCTGACTATGCAGCCTTTCTAACTAGGTTTAATGAGAACTCCTGAAGTTTTGAACAACATGCTCATTGGGATGACCTCTGTGAGGGGGTGGGGAGTGGGCTCAGGAGCATCTGCTGAAGACTTCGGTTTTGCTTACCTTGGTTTTGGGATCAATGAGGCTGACTCCATGCTTATTGATGGCAATTAGAAGGATTTCTGGATAATTTGGCTCTGTAGTTTGCTGTTGGAAATAAGATGAACAGGTTAGGGGATGTGTCATGCAAAATCAGACCCCTTCCTATTCCCTCTCTCCCTGTTTTTTGCCAGCATTTGTTGGCCCATTAACTGCTACCCAGTTTATCGTTTAAACAGAGGTCATTAAGGTATCAGCAATAGTCAGGACTGCCTAGTTAAGTACAGATCTCCTAAATGCATGATAACCAGTAGGTAAGTTGCTGACAGCATTAAGTTCCTTGCCATTGGCAAGGAAGAGCTGTGACAGCCTGGCAAACCCCAGACATCTCTTCTCCCTTCCAGTCCCTCTGATCCTCCTCATGCCTGCTGCTGTGAACCTCCAGGCCAAGACTACACTTCTCTGTCACCTTCTGATCTTTACATTCAATTTTGTTCCTTCTGGTAAACCCTTCTCCCAGCCCTGTGCCATGAAGGACCTTCAATTTGTTCCATTGGTGAGGTAGGGCACAAGGTATGGGGGCTCAGCTCCTGGCCCTGCCACGGATTTCTTGGCTACCAAGTCACTTTTGGTGGAAAAATCACAGGATATAATCAAATGCCTTATGCCATCTAAGATGGACATGACAGAAAATGGGGTGTCCAGGTTCAAGGAACTGATGAGTAATTTCAGAACTTGTTTCCAGCCCAGACTCACTGTGTGGTCATTAAGAAGAGGGAGTTGCAGTAAGGTGTCTGGAGTACTCTACTGTCTTTGATGGGAGCCTGGTGCTGTGGTGAGTGGTCTGGACTTGGTTCAGGTGTATGCAGACACATCCCTTGGGAAACTGCACATTCCCCTTTGTCTTGGCAAAACAGAGAATGGCTCTTGGCTCTTCAGCAGCACAGCTACGAGTACAGACCCAATGACTGAGATATGCTGAAGCTCTACAATGCCTCTGTGTAAAGAGGCAGGGCAGCAATAAATGAGTGTGTCGGGTCTTTACTGATGGAGAGTCTCACAC